ACCTGTGGTCGTCTCCCCTTGAGTGTGGGAAGGAGCATGGATATGATAGGATATCACTGCCATTGTTAGTTTACCAAACAGTTGACTGAGTTAACTGAAAAGGTCCAACCTAATTAAGTTAATCTTTTTAAAGAGACTGAGCCCTTTGTAAAGTCAGAGAGTTCAGAGGTGTGAGAGGGACTGCTGAGACCAGCTGGCAAGGACCTGAGCATGGCTGCCAGGAGCCAAGAGAAGCCCCCTGCTGACAGCAGGACAGTGGGCCTCCAGTTCTACTGCAAAGGATGTGAAGGAGCCAGGAAGCAGGACTTGCCCTGGGTTAGCCTCTGGGTGACGATGCGGCTGCTTCCACCTTGATCTCAGCCTCATGAGACCCCAGAGAACCTAGTCACGGTGTGCCCAGGCTTTGACCTATGGAGCGTCAAGTCCAAGCCTTTTCAAGTCACTAAATTTGTGGCAAGTCTTTACACAGCAATAGAAAACTAATATAATCACTCTTGGTTTATTCAGGTTTTCTACTTCTTCAGTTACTTTTGATAATTAGCATTTGGGGGGATATATCCATTTTATCAGAATTTTATTTTAATGTTGGCATAAAATAGTTAATAATATTCTTTTGTAATTCTAAAAATCTATCCTGTCTGCGGTTGCATTCCCTGTATGTAAACACATCACCATACATATATATACATATGTGTGCATGCGTGCACAAGTCTGAGCATACACATACATGCATGTGTTTGTATATGTGTGTATCTGCATACAGGTGTGTACAGATATGTGCACATTCTCTTTTTCTTGATGATTCCTGCCAGAACCTTGTTCATTTTATTCAAGTTCAAGTTCATTCAACTTTCAAATTCGGCTTTCTGTTATTTTTCTATTTTCTGATTGAACCATGTCTATACTTACCTTTATTATTTCCGTTTTTCTCTTTTCTGTAAATTTACTCTGCTGTTCTTTTTTAAGATTCTTGAGACATATCTGTGCTTGGTTTACTTATTTTTAATCTTTAAAAAAGCAAAACATTTTAGTTTATAAATTTCCTCCTAAACATCACTTTAACTGGCCCCCATACATCATAATACGTAGTATTTTTGTTGTTGATGGGGTCGAAATTTTTGGTAATTTCTCTTTTTACTTCCTTAGTTAATGAGTTATTTAGCATTTTGAGGGTTTCTATACATATGAATTTTCTTACAGTGTGTTTTTATAGTTGTGTTCTCATTTAATTACATTTATTGAACAGCGGAAGTGTGATGATGTAACTAATTCTTTGAAATTTGCTGAAGCTTTCCTTTTGTGATGTAGGGTATGGGCAATTTTCTCTCTTTTTAAAATATTTATTTATTTATTCAAAGTGAGGAGGGGCAGAAGGAGCGGGGAGAGAAACTAAAGAGGCTCCGCACTGAGTGAAGAGCCCAACATGGGGCTCCATCTCATGACTCTGAGATGAGACCTGAGCCGAAACCAAGAGTCAGATTCCCAGGTGACTGCACCACCCAGCTGCCCCAGACATGTGCAATTTTCAAAGATATTCCTGTGTACTCAGAAAAGGCTATGTTCTCTATTTGTTAGGAGCAGATTCTGATAGGTAAGATGGGAAAGATATAGAAGATTAGAACTATATAATAGATCAAGGCTGCTAATTTTTTTTAAAAAAAGATTTATCTAGGGATCCCTGGGTGGTGCAGCGGTTTAGCGCCTGCCTTTGGCTCAGGGTGCGATCCTGGAGACCCAGGATCGAATCCCATGTCGGGCTCCGGGTGCATGGAGCCTGCTTCTCCCTCTGCCTATGTCTCTGCCTCTCTCTCTCTCTGTGACTATCATAAATAAAAAAAATTTAAAAAAAGATTTATCTATTAGAGAGAGAGAGTGAGAGTACACACATGGGAGTGGCAGGATGGGCAGAGGGAGAAAGAATCTTAAGCAGGGTCCATGCCCAGTGTGGACTCTCACGACCCTGAGATCATGACCTGAGACAAAACCAAGAGTCAGATGCTTACCCAACTGAGCCACTCAGGTGCCACAAGGGTGTTAATTTTGTTTTGATCTTATGTAGCCTTACTGAATTTTGGTATTCTGACCTTCAGATTATTTTTTTAAGATTTTATTTATTTCTTCACAAGAGACATATATATAGAGAGAGAGGCAGAGACACAGGCAGAGGGAGAAGCAGGTTCCTTGCAGGAAGCCCAGTGCAGGACTCAATCCCAGGACCCCGAGATCACAACCTGAGCTGAAGGCTGATGCTCAACTGCTGAGCCACCTGGGTGTCCTCAGATTCTGATAGGAGCTTTGCTAGAATCTTTGACTAGGCTTGAATTTGGGATGATGACTTCTTTTATATCTGAAAATGTTTATTTTAAACTCACTCTTCATTGACAGTTTAGCTGGATATAAAGTTCTAAGATGACCATTACTTTCTGCTGCTTTTTGAAGGTATAATTTGTCTTCTAGCATATTTTTCTTCCAAAGTTAAGTTGTTTTTTCTTTTTAGTTATACATTTTCTCTAGATACTTTGTCTTTCCTTTTTCTTTCTGATATCATCTAAGGCTGTCTTTTTATGCTTGATGTTCTGCAGTTCCTTCCTGTTTCTAGTTGGAAATATTTTCTTTATCTGATTGGTACTTATAGTGCACTTTGAATTTGAGAAGTCATTTTTGTTTTATTTTATTTTTTAAAGGTTTTTAAAGATTGAGAGAGAGCGAGAACAAGCCAGCGTGCAAGTAGGGTAAGGAGCAGAGGGAGAGGCAGACTCCCTGCTGAGGAGGGACTCTGGGATTATGACCCAAGCCAAAGGCAGTAGCTTAACCAACTGAGTCACCCAGGTGCCCCAAGAAGTCATTTTTCATTCTGGGAATTTCTTAGCTGCTACCTCTTCAAATGTTGCTTCTTCACCATCTCCCCCATTCTCTTCCACAGCTCATACTGGGTGTGTGCTGGGCATGTGATCTAACCTCCATATTGCTCAATATCTCTCTCATGTTCCTTCCTTGGCTTTTTGATGTCTGTGGGTGAGTTCCTCAGTACTAGCCTCTGTACTGTTTTCTAAACCATTAATGCTCACAAACTGTGTCTCCAGCCCAGAATGTAATTTATTACTGTTACTATTATTATTGATATTATTTCAATAACTATTTGCTTATTGACAACCTTTTAGCTAGTCTTTAAAATACCTACCTGTTTCTGGCTTTGTTTGTTTCATACTTTGCTGATTTCATCAGAACAAAATTAATCTTCCAATAGTCCATTTCAATAGTTGAATGTCCCCCTTAGCTTTGGGTTTCCTCATGTGCTCTGGATTTTTGGTTTAAAGAGGTATTTTCTTGTTGCCTTTCTCTTCCTTTCCACGGAGAGTTTCATCTTATTTTGACTGCAGCTCCATCTCAAATTCTATTCTCACTGCCAGGTATCTTAAGCAGGGGGGCACAAGGCCTTCTTCAGCAAGAGTCCAGGATGCATTCTAAAAGCAGAGCCACCAGGATTATTGGTGCATTAGATGTTGAGTGATGGGGAGAGAGGGCTTGAGGTTGAAACTGTGGTTGTGACTGAAATAACAATTGAGGAGTAGTGCTCACTGAGTGGGTATCAGGGACGAAGCAAGGCCAGGGGTAAGAATCAAAGTTCTTAGTCACCACAATGTGACAGCTCTGGACTTTTTAAAGAAGTACATTTCAACACTTTTAAACATTAACGTTTAAAAAATAGTTCTTTAATTATATAATGCTTGATATACTTTTTTTGGTATCCAAGTGGAAATGTTAAAAAGGCGGTTGGATGTATGAGTCCTCAGTTCCAGATTTGAGTTAAAGATGTGTGATTATGAGTGATGAGCATGCTGTGGTATTCAGGGCTATGGCGTAGGTCTGGTTGGGAGTGAGCCCAGGGGCATCCACGTCTTGAGTCTGGTGGACGAGGCAACAGAGGCAGTAAGGACCTGGAGGGACTCCTGGGGGGCTCAGGGTAAATGAGAGAGTTGACCAAAGGGCAGAAAAGAAACTGTTTAGAGAGGGAGATATTGCTGTTGGGGTGGCAAGACAGAGTCTCAAACAGCATTTCAGTGGGACGGTGCAGGTGAGAGCTTGATGGGGACCGCTAATGGAGACCTGTGATGGTGGGGAGACCCAGGACCGACCATCTGATTTGAGCTCTGGTGTGAAGGGAGCAGAGAAATGTGCCGTGCTGACAGGTGGATGTCAGATGTTTTGTTTTGTTTTGTTTTAATTTTTATTTATTTATGATAGTCACACAGAGAGAGAGAGAGGCAGAGACATAGGCAGAGGGAGAAGCAGGCTCCATGCACCCGGAGCCCGACGTGGGATTCGATCCCGGGTCTCCAGGATCGCACCCTGAGCCAAAGGCAGGCGCTAAACCGCTGTGCCACCCAGGGATCCCTGTTTTGTTTTTGTGGGATTCGATCCCGGATCTCCAGGATCGCGCCCTGGGCCAAAGGCAGGCGCTAAACCGCTGCGCCACCCAGGGATCCCTGTTTTGTTTTTGAAATGGGAGACATTGGAATATGTTTGTCAGCTAATGGAACTGATTGTGATGGCTTTCCTGAGACCCCTGAACCCTTTCTTTCACCTTTCCGGCCCCACTCTGCTATTCTCCTAAGAGAAGGCGAAGAAGGGCATGTGTGGCACCTGCTCTGGAAAATCAGCCTTATTTTATCCCTGTTTCTACTCCTCCTCACCTTGTGAGGCTGCTTGCAGTGCAGTGGGGGTTTGGGGACCTGGTTCTGGCTTGGATTTAGTTGGAGGGTGGATTAAAGGCCAGGCCAGGTACCAGAGACCAAGTGTCCTCTCAGGGTGATTCCTTTGAGCTGGGGGGTCACGCTGTGGGGACATCTGAATTTACTCCTTGCTTCTCCCTGCCTGGCAGGCCCCACACCCTGTGCTAGTCCTGTGTTTGGATGGTGGGGATGTGGGTGATGGGGCATGTGTTCGCCTCCGACCTGAGTATGGAATCCCTTATTTTCCTCCTTTTCTTTTCCTGCCAGGATCCTGGCCACGGCTGGCACTGACTTTGACCTGCGGACCCTGCGGGCTGTGCGCGTGCTCAGGCCCCTGAAGCTGGTGTCTGGGATTCCAAGTGAGTCTGGCAAAAGCAACCAGGCCCAAGCCTAACCATCTCCCCCAAGCCCACCACAGCTATGGCCACTGTTAAACCCTAACCAGAAGGCCCTTTAGGAACCAGGTGTGAGGAGCCTGGAATACCCTGTGAAAGCCCAGACAGTGATCCTGTTGTTTCGCCCTGACTTGGCTTCCCCAGATGGAAGCTTTGTTTCTCCTCATGCTCTCTGCTCTATTTCCAGCTCTTTGCTGCTTTCTTTTTCTGGGGTCAATGCACAGATAAGAGATTGAGCAAGGCAGTGGGCAGGATGCCTGAGAAAATAGTCAGAGGCTGCAAAGGACCACCTATCTTGGCTCAGGCCTGGCAGGGCCACAGAGAATGAGGCCAGATTAAGACAGGCTCCCGGATTCAGCTGCCCAAGGAGCCGAGCCTGGGCAGGAGGATGGCCAGGGCTGAGAGGCAGGCATCCACTCCAATGAGAAGCTTGGCATCAGTTTTTCTGAGAGCCCTGAGTGGGCAGGGACCCAGGGATGGACCTGAGGCCACTGTAGGGAAGCCCCTGTTCTGCCCCAAGACCCTGCTAGGCAAAAGCTCTGGCCTGTATCTAAGAGATGGGCCAGGTGGGAATGGAGTTATGGGCTGAGCTTCCCCTGTGTACTGAGTTCTTTTGGCCTGGATGCACCCTGCCTTGGGGTCAGTGGTAAGACACTCCTGCGAGCAGTCCCCTCCTTCACTTCCCTTAAGGATTTGGGTTTGTCAGGACCTCCTGCACTTCTCTCCCAGGATCTCCAGCTCTCAGCCTCCAGAATCTTCTGCTTTCTCCTCCCAGCATTGCCTCCCCACCGTAGGATCCTCTGCTCTCGCTCCACTCAGAGCCCTTCATAGGTCCACACATCTCATCAGCACATGCTCTCCAGCAGATGCCCCACACTCTGCTCCTCCCCTACTCTCAGTGTATTTCCCTCCAAGACTTATGTTTGTTCCCCTACCCTGAGGACTCTCGTGTAAGCACATGTGGTTCCCCCAAGACTCATGCTTCCCCACAGTCCCCGCCCCATCCCTACATTGCAGGCTCCTCCCTCAGCACCTTTCCCCGGGATGCCCGGTGCTACCCAGCCCAGGCTGTGGCTAGTCTGCGCACCCCCGCCCGAGCCCCTGTCCTGCCCACCGGCTCTGACCTGCCCTGCTTGGGCTACTCTGGCCCAGGTTTGCAGGTGGTGCTCAAGTCTATCATGAAGGCCATGGTTCCACTCCTGCAGATCGGGCTGCTTCTTTTCTTCGCCATCCTCATGTTCGCGATCATTGGCCTTGAATTCTACATGGGCAAATTCCACAAGGCCTGTTTCTCCAACAGCACAGGTGAGGCCTGGCAGGACCCCTTAGACCCCTCCTCATTCCTCCAGGAGACAGGCCCGGCTCTAGGTCTGGCCTTACAGGTGCCAGACGAGTGGGGTGGAGCTTGTGTTCCGGTGGGGGACACACAGCATGACCTGGAGAACACAGATATGTGGACAAAGACATGAGCACAGTGACTGTACATTGTACTGATTTCTAGGGAAAAAGCAAAAGGGGAACTTGCAGTAGAATAATTTGGGAGCCTACTTCGCAGAAACCAGCCTGGGAGGCCTCTCTCCCGAGGTGACAGTGGGGCAGCCATCAGGGTGCAGGGAGGGGGATTGCTGGGTGGCCACTGGGCCAGGGAGCACCAGTTACAGGAACAGTGTGTGAGAGGCCGGAGCAAGGAGCAGTGAGAATAAGGGGAAACCATGCGGCATTCGTGGCTGTGGGGGGAACTGTGTGTGTCATTCTGGAGAACTCAGGAAGGTGGTGGGGGGCTCCACGTGAGCAGAGACATCATCCCAGTCTTCTCGCTGTTCTGGAGAGGCCGAGGCAGAGAGACGGGCTTGGGCAGGAGGCTGATGTCTCGATCTGGGAGGAACAGTGGCTGTGACCAGGTGCTTTGCTGCAGGTGGTCAGAGTGGGGCAGGTTCTGGGTATATTTTGCAGTGAGGCCGATGAGCAATATGATCATGTCCATCGATGCAGAGGAAGCTCTTACTAAAATTTAGATCATTCATGATTTTTAAAAACCTCTTCTCAAGGCTGGTAGAAGCATATCCATGCTGCAGGGGCCAACGTAGTGAGGACCCGGCCCGGGCCCCCAGCCATCCTCCGGGCATGTGTTGGGTGGGCTCTGAGCCAACCTGCCTGATAAACAGGGACTGCAGTGGCTGCATCCAGGCTGACAGGCCGATCCGCGCGTCGGGAGAGTCTTGGTGGTGGCTTGGCTGTGAGGAAAAGGAGAAACAGGTGGTAGTGGCAGGAAGAATTGGGTGTTAGGACTTCTTTTTTTTAAATTTTCAAGTGAGTAAGTCCTGAGCATGGTTAAAGGATGAGGGGCAAGTTCCAGTCAAGAGGGAGAGGTTGACCAGGAGTTCCTGGGAGGGTTGGTCTAAACTCAGGTGAAGGCAGGCTGTAGGCACAGGGAGAGAGCTGGTGCAAGGAGGGGTGGTGGGAAGTTGAGGGAGGATTTCTATCAGGTCTCCACAGCCCAGGAATCCCAGCAGGGGTTCAAGAACTTGGTGTTTCTGGGCTCAGGGTCTGTGCTTCATTCTCTTCACAGATCCAGATCCAGTGGGGGACTTCCCCTGTGGCAAGGAGGCCCCGGCCCGGCTGTGTGAGGGTGACACTGAATGTCGGGAGTACTGGCCAGGGCCCAACTTTGGCATCACCAACTTTGACAATATCCTGTTTGCCATCTTGACGGTATTCCAGTGCATCACCATGGAGGGCTGGACTGACATCCTCTACAATGTGAGTTGTGTCTTGGCCCTGGGACAGTGGATGGGCTCTGGAGCTCCTGGGGTCCCATTTGGGGTGAGGTTTCTGACCTCAGAGCCTCTGCCCATCCCCTAGCTCCTTCCTCCACCGTAGGATGAAATACAGGTGCCTTCCTTCAGGTGGCTCCACCAAGGGCCCACTATTATCACTGTCAACTCAAACTCTTGACCTTGGCCCTAGAGTGTCCGGGATAGCTCTTTGTGTGAAAGTAACACTAAGGGCTACTGGATGCTACTGCTGATGGTTGAGATGGCTACAGCACGATCCCTCAGGCTCGCTGCAAGCTTGCTCCAAGTTAGGTCCTATGTGAAGTGTCTCATCCCTATTAACTCATAGAATCATCTCAAGAAGCCCATCGTACAAGGAAGAAACAGGCATGGAGAGGCTGTTTAATCTGTTCAAGGCCTTAAGACTAGTGGCGGCTTGCTGGGAACTACCATTTAAGCTATCTCTGCTGGGGTTTTCTGGATGGACTGAGGGGTGGTGAAGCTTACTGGCCTCTCCTTGTCCCTAGGCTGCCTGATGAAGACAGAGGAGGGCAGGGTTTCGGGCTGCATGGAGCTAATGCTTAGGGAGACCTCTCTGATGGTGCTGAGGTCAGAGCATGTGTCTTGCACATTTCTGTCTTTTTTGCTGTGTCTTCTGGTGCTGTTTCCTCTCAGTCTTCTTGCCCATTAGGGTGCCTGCCTGTCATAGCAGTGTATACAGGGCAGTCTGGGTTAGTGCCCATGACAGAAGATGGGCTAAGGCCTTTCTCTGGTGACTCCTCTCACTCCCACCTCCCCTCCATGTGAAGCTGTCCTTGGAGGACTCTACTATGAATTCTTGAGCAGATTTCTGTCTCTTTTTTTATGTGATGAAACCCCTAGCTGCCTTCTACCCCCTAGAGCCTTGTGAGTTGCCAGGGCATAAACACAATTAAATGAGTCCCTCAGGGACTTTAGGAGGTAGAGAAAGAAGGTACACAGGAGCTAGGAATCTTGGAAGGTTTGGCTCGAGAGGTACAGTGGGTAGATTGCTGTGTCCTGGATAGCTGGAGTATGCTGTGCTCAGGTATTGGGGGGTAGAGGACCCTGCAGCACAAGGTACTTTACGTTGATCCTGCCACTCGTATGCTGATGTGTGGTTTGGGTTACAAGCTCCTGGAGCCTAGAGAGGAAATGATGGTGGCATAAGCTGGTGGCATGATGGACAGGATGAAAGGGACAGGATGCAACCCTTTGCCCTATGCCTTCTGCCTGGGTTCATAAAGACCCAGGTGGATCTCAGAGCTGGGCATCTAGCAGGTACTTGGTGAATGCTCATTGAGGAGGCACAGGGAAGAAGAGGAGGAGCTAGGAAAAGCTGGCCTGAAGTTCCTTGAACCAGATCCCTCCGTGGAATGGGAGTTGTGTCTTATGACAAGCTCTGTTTAATTGAGGAAAAGAGAACAGGCACAAAGGCAGTTTTGAGGAGCTTGGCTGTTCTCTTCCTGTAGCCAATCAAAGAGCAGTTTCCCAAAGACAGACCCTAAAAATAGCTCTGAGCTGGCCACATCCCTGCCAACCCCACCTGAACAAGGAGTGCTAGAACAGGTTTCTACAGATTTCAGTGCCCACTGGGACTTGGCCACTGGCCCAGGTGACTCAGACTGGTGGGTCTGTGCCCTGTGGGGGATGGGGCTGGGCAGGAACTCAACCCCGGGGCAGCACACACTGGTCAAGAGAGCCACAGAGGATTCATCGGACACATATTTTCATGGGACTCATCAGGCTCTGGACACTCCTCAAGCTGCTCCCTGTACAGTGGCGAGCAGGAGGCATTCAGTAAGGGCCTAATAATGGCAAGTGCTCTGAAGAGGAGCAGGTAGTGATGAGTTAGAGAACCTTATGAAGTTAAGGCCTGGCAAGGTCTGGAAGCCAAACATGCAGGTGTTATGAGATTTTGCACTGGGGGTTTGGCATGGCACCAGGCCACAGTGACTGCAGTCAGCTGAGGCTGGTGCCCAGAGCAGGTGGCCAAGGTCTGACTGGGTCCACGCTCCACACTAACAGGGTGGGTTGTTGCAAATCAGGCAGGGTTTTTGAAGGGGATTCTTTGGAGAGAGAGCCTGCCTCTTTCCTCAGTCCAGCGAGAGGGGCTTTTATGATCCTTTCAGACCCACTCCCTGAGTGTAGAGGCCAAGTGACAGTGCCTGCCCTTTATGGGCAGGAGCCATGGGCCCGCAGTGGTGGGCAGAAGGGAGGGAGGTGGAGAGCATGCTTGGTGTTGGGAACAGGGGAGAACGTGTGAGTATTTCTCACGGACAGACCAGCTGTAGCTGAGGGGTTGTGGGCAGCCAGCAGCCCTTCTGAATTCTGACCAGGGGAATGATGAGGTCTTAGCAGAGAACATCTGTTCAGGACAGACTGCTAGAAAATTGGTGGTGGGGGGTGAAGGAGTTCTCCTTCAGTCCTTCTGTGACTGAAGGAGAAATGACTTGCCTGTATTTTGAAAAGTAAGTGAAGTCAAATGGGGTCCTGGAAGATACACAGAAGCGCCTTGTGAGAGACCAGTAAGCAGGAAATTTCTGTCAGGCCCAGAGAGACAAGATTATCTCAGGGCAGCACCCTGAGAACTTGCCCGTCCCCCTCCGCTCCCTTCCTGGCCTGGATTGTGTTGGGGTCAGTAACCCAGCAGCAAGCTGGGGAAGAAGGAGCCGTGTTAGGCGTGGAGGGGCAAAGAAGGGCCACGCCTCCGTCGCCCCATGAAAGCAGCCAGCTGTGGCAGGCCAGCCAAAAGAGTACAGATTCTCAGTGTGAAGCATGTTAAACAGTTTTATTGCCAGCTGGGACTGGACACTTAATTACTGAATTGAGACTGTGTTTTCTACTTGAGGTGATTGGAGAACTTTCTGTTACCCAGGAGTTATCAAAAAAGTCATAAGACTTATCTCAATTTTTATCCAGGGACATGAATACGTTCAAAGGGACATTAGAAGATAAATAAGTAGGCTTATGACAACGTACGTATTTATGAGAACATATGTATTCATGAGAATATACGTATTTATGAGAACATACATATTCAAGAGAACATACATACATACATATGCCTTTGCATATGTTCATTGAACTGGTTACATAAAGATGTGAAGAAGGGGTGTTCAGATGTGTAGGTTCCAAGGCTGTGTTTTACAGTTAGCACAGGTAGGGCTTGTTCATCAACTGAATGTGCAATGTGAGAAAAGGAAGAGCCAAAGAAGATGTGACTTCAGCGACTAGGAGAGGTGGTGTCTTTTCTTGAGAAGGGAGACTTGGGAGCGAGATATTTGCTCAGTTTTGTTTCATTGGATGAGTAGTAGAGCTCAAGGACCCTGCTTTGGCTGAATTATGTTTCAGAGAACTATTTTCACACTAAGTATGCAGTGACATAGCGGAGAGGAGACGGTAGGGCTGAGAGTGTCTGCCTGAGGTCATGGATGGTGTTCCACATTATGGGAGATGATTGGCCCAGTAAGGGCTGTAGAAAGAGAAGGAAAGGAGGCCAAAGACTGAGCCCTCTCCAACTTGGCTGTGGAGGGAAGTTCTAGCGTTCAGAAGCTGAGCAGGAAAAAAGGAGCTGGCAGAGAGACCAAGGTGGAGCCATTGAGGCAGGGTAAGAACAATACCATGAGCTTGTCTTGGAAGCAGAGCTACGGAAAAAAGTTTTCAGAAAGCGATCAACCAGGATCAGGTGTCTCTGAGAGGTCGAGAAAGATGCTGCTAAACTTGACAAGAGCAGTGTCAGCAATGGGGGTAGGACCTTGGAACGTGCAGGAGATGGAATGAGGGCAGCGGAGAGAGTCAGCTCTTTCACGGGGTTTCCCGGGAGGGGTAGTGGCAGGTAAGCGAGGGAGATTTGAGGACTGGCTGTTTTTGTAAACCTAAACTTTGAGATAATTCAGGGTTTATGTGTAGTTGTAGGAAATCTGTCAAGAGATCTCCTGTGTCCTCTCATGGTGATAACCTGCAGGAGTATCACCACCAGAATGCTGGTGTGGGCACGGTGGAGACAGAGAACCTTCCATCCCAGCAGGATCCCTGCGTAACCTCCTGTAGCCGCACCCACTTCTCTCTTACCCCGTCCATCCCTGTTAATCACTGATCTTTTGGCCATATCTGCAATTTCAAGGAGGTCCCGTAAATGAAACCATAGTCTCTGTAACTTTTTGGTGTTGACTTCATTTCACTCACATGATTCTTTGGGGATTCACGCAGATTACTGTGTGTCAGCAGTTGATTCCCCTTGATCCCTAGCAGTCTTCTGTGGTGTGGGTGGACTCTACAGTTTGCTTAACGTTCATTGAGTTCCATTGTATTCCATTGTATATATAGACCATGTCTTCTTACCCATTCATCTGTCCAGGACATCATGGCTCCTTCCACAGTTTGGCTATTGTGGACATTGCTGCTGTGAACATTGGGGTGCAGGTGTCCCCATGTTTCACTGCATCTGTATCTTTGAGGTAAATACCCAGTAGTGCAGTTGCTGGGTCATAGGATAGCTCTATTTTTAACTCTTTGAAGAACCTCCACACAGTTTTCCAGAATGGCTGCACCAGTTTGCATTCCCACCAACAGTGCAAGAGGTTCCCCTTTCTCCACATCCTCTCCAACATTTTTTTGTTTCTTGTCTTGTTAATTTTCATCATTCTCACTGGTGTGAGGTGGTATCTCATCGAGGTTTTGATTTGTATTTCCCTGATGGCAAGTGATGTGGAGCATGGAGTTTTCATGTGCTTGTTGGCCATGTGTATGTCTTCTATAGAGAAATGTATGTTCATGTCTTCTGCCCATTTCATGATTGGATTGTTTGTTTCTTGGGTGTTGAGTTTAATAAGTTTTTTCTAGCTCTTGGATACTAGCCCTTTATCTGATGTGGCATTTGCAAATATCTTCTCCCATTCTGCAGGTTGTCTTTTAGTTTTGTTGACTGTTTTCTTTTGCTGTGCAGAAGCTTTTTATCTTAAGTCC